GGGTATTTAACCCAAAGTGGACAAACGATGTTTTTGTTTCTTTCAGCGCAAAGAAACGTCTATCAGTCTCATCTGTCAAGAGGCGGCTTCATTTTGTGTGGGTTTCTGGAAAACAATCCATTTTTACATTTCCGTACTCTTGCGGCCACCCTTTTTCTGTTCCAGACTGACCCCGGCCCCCACATCACAGAAGCGAAAGCTTATGCGGCCCTCACAGGAAAAAGTTTGGGGACCGCTGCTATATAGTGATATGTCGGTTGCGAACGAGCCAGTACAAAGAGGCACCCTCCCTCGAGAGCCGGCTCTGTGTGTGGCTCTCTCGTTCTCTCGCGCTCTCTCGCGCTCTCTCGTGCTCTCTCTCGTGTCTGGTCTGAAAAGGTTTGGCAGTGGCTCAGCTGCCATGCTCAGAGAGGTAGACCAGAAGAGAAAGTGGAGGGGCGAGGGGCTTGGTAGGTACTGCACGGAGTGCACGCTGAGCACATGCTCCGTCGCGTCTGCGCAGCCACAGACAGACACATACCTGTCAACTTGTACGTTTTGCCCGTATTCTATACGTTTTTTAATCATTTCAAATCATGTACGGCGTATTACAACTTTTATACCGGAAAAAAAAAAATTGTGAACCGATCTCACAAAGACCATTTAGCTCAAATCCAGATCGTCTCACCTGGTAGCCAACGACAATGCCGTCGTCGATCGCTACTATTGTCACGGCAAACCAGCAAAAGTAATCCTCAATCGTATATTTTTTTTCATCGCTGCGTACGGTCGGATTGATTCAGCATGATGTGCGCATGCGCGGTAAACCGTTGTAAGGGTTTTTGTTGCTTTGAAAGGGGAATCGTAATCATATGGGCAACAATTATCCGAGGTTTACAGGTATGCAAAAGGATTTGACTTTCCCAGTTCCAACTCGTCCAGAGGATCATAAACACAACAACAAAGCCACAACAACATGGTGAGACAGCACCTGATAAAGGTACCCAGGGAGTTGTATTTTTTTGGTGGGACTGTACTTGTAAAGTTGAGACCCACTTCAGTCGAAGGTTTGTCATTCCTATTGGTCACCAGTAGACGGCGCCCTTACGCTTCGGAAAGACCTTGTCAACACCATCGACGACGGGCGCTAGCCTCTTGCGAGTTTGCGGTCGAATTTTACAATGATTCTTACTGCTGTTAGCTGACATTGGAAAGCGAAATCGGGTTTATTGTTTCCTCTTGCCAATGGCGGGCCCTCTGCTGGAGTTTGAGACCGAAATGTTTCTGACATGTTGATCGATATACAGTGAATACTTTGAGGGGGGAAAGTTATCGGGGCCCTCAGAAAGTCATACGATGTTTCCTCCCTAATCTGAAACGAAGTTTGATTTCACCGCGATCCTTTGGGTTTTGCAGGTTCTTCAGCCCCCGGCCCCGTTGGGACCAGCAGAGAGCACCCCGCAAGCATCCAGACGAGACTTGCGTCTCAACTATTCCAGCGGAGTTGCCCTGATCAACAAAGCATCTTGAAACAATGAATAAAGTTGGCTTGCACGTTTTGGTAGTGTGCGTAATCTGGAAGGAGGTTTGATCAGGCCCGCAGGATAATTTAAAAGTGAAAAAATGCATAAAGACATGGAATGAATATTTTTAATAAAGTGCAATTCATGGAATATCCGCTAGGGGGACACACTGTTTCGATCAGAGGAAAAGACAACATTGTTTTGATCAGAGAAGAAGACAACAGCCCTCTGTCACTGAGACGGACTCAACACAGCAGACCCTATCAAGGACATGTGAAAACTTTATTCTTTACACATATAGCACTCTCCTTAGTTTGTAAGGTGTAGGCAGGGATTACATTTAGATTTTATATGCTCGTGTAAATGGTTTAAAAATTCCTTTCTTTATAAATCTCGTTTAATCTTAAAAGTGCATTACTATATTTTTCAAGACCAATTACTTGTTACTGTTTTGTGCCTTTGTACAGTCAGTGGGATCAATTGCAATGCAGATACAGTCAAAGCTCGGTTTTCATCCATAATCCGTTGCAGAAGGCTGTTCGAAAACCGAATTGTTCGAAAACCGAAAGCACACTCTTTTTAAAATAAAAATGTTTGTTGAAGACGTCTGCTCACAATGGAAAGCAACACTTCCTCGTCTACCCGAGGAAGTGTCACTTCCTTGTGTAAGGAAGGCGAGAGGAGTCAAATGGTGCATTCAAGTGCACTCAGTTTGTTTGAGAACCGAAATTTGTTCGTCATCCGAGGCATTAAAACTCAAAATTTTTGGTCAAAAACCGAATTGTTCGAGAACCGAGACGTTCGAAAACCGAGGTTTGACTGAATGTGAATGACAAAAGTAAATTGCACATTTGTCTAAGGAAATCTTAGGTGCTTCATGAAATGTTTTGTGAAAGATATGTTCATTAAATTTCAACATTTCCCTAGTATTCTTGTGCATCTTTAGACCAAAACAAAGGAAAGACATATTATTTTGGTTATTTATAGCAGAGTATGGTATTATTTTTAATGGTGCGGCCCACTTGACATCTACCGAGGCCCTATGTGGCCCACAATGTAAAATGAGTTTGACATCCATGCTATACATGGTCATTTTTTTTCGGCTAAAAACGCCTTACTATACATGGTCGTTTTTTTCGGCTAAAAACGCCTTACTATACATGGTCGTTTTTTTCGGCTAAAAAGGCCTGACTAGACATGGTCGTTTTTTTTGTCTAAAAACCCCTTCCTCTTCATGGTCGTTTTTTTCGTCTAAAAACGCCTTACTATACATGGTAATTTTTTTCGTCTAAATACGCCTTACTATGCACGGTCGTTTTTTTTTCGGCTAAAAACGCCATACGATACATGGTCGTTTTTTTTCGGGTTAAAACGCCTTACTATACATGGTCGTTTTTTTCGGGTTAAAACGCCTTACTATACATGGTCGTTTTTTTCGGGTTAAAACGCCTTACTATACATGGTCGTTTTTTTCGGGTTAAAACGCCTTACTATACATGGTCGTTTTTTTCGGGTTAAAACGCCTTACTATACATGGTCGTTTTTTTCGGGTTAAAACGCCTTACTATACATGGTCGTTTTTTTCGGGTTAAAACGCCTTACTATACATGGTCGTTTTTTTCGGGTTAAAACGCCTTACTATACATGGTCGTTTTTTTCGGGTTAAAACGCCTTACTATACATGGTCGTTTTTTTCGGGTTAAAACGCCTTACTATACATGGTCGTTTTTTTCGGGTTAAAACGCCTTACTATACATGGTCGTTTTTTTCGGGTTAAAACGCCTTACTATACATGGTCGTTTTTTTCGGGTTAAAACGCCTTACTATACATGGTCGTTTTTTTCGGGTTAAAACGCCTTACTATACATGGTCGTTTTTTTCGGGTTAAAACGCCTTACTATACATGGTCGTTTTTTTCGGGTTAAAACGCCTTACTATACATGGTCGTTTTTTTCGGGTTAAAACGCCTTACTATACATGGTCGTTTTTTTCGGGTTAAAACGCCTTACTATACATGGTCGTTTTTTTCGGGTTAAAACGCCTTACTATACATGGTCGTTTTTTTCGGGTTAAAACGCCTTACTATACATGGTCGTTTTTTTCGGGTTAAAACGCCTTACTATACATGGTCGTTTTTTTCGGGTTAAAACGCCTTACTATACATGGTCGTTTTTTTCGGGTTAAAACGCCTTACTATACATGGTCGTTTTTTTCGGGTTAAAACGCCTTACTATACATGGTCGTTTTTTTCGGGTTAAAACGCCTTACTATACATGGTCGTTTTTTTCGGGTTAAAACGCCTTACTATACATGGTCGTTTTTTTCGGGTTAAAACGCCTTACTATACATGGTCGTTTTTTTCGGGTTAAAACGCCTTACTATACATGGTCGTTTTTTTCGGGTTAAAACGCCTTACTATACATGGTCGTTTTTTTCGGGTTAAAACGCCTTACTATACATGGTCGTTTTTTTCGGGTTAAAACGCCTTACTATACATGGTCGTTTTTTTCGGGTTAAAACGCCTTACTATACATGGTCGTTTTTTTCGGGTTA